CAATGAACTTGGAAGGGAGAAAAAAGAATCACCTAACATTTCTGTCATTGTTGAGAAAATCAAGACTGGATGCCCGTGACCCAGGTGACAAAAGACTCCATTGGCCCCTTATGTCTTGACATCCCATTCTATACTGCGCTGATTTCAGACAGAACTGTTCCAATTTCAGGTGGAGAACTATGTGGCTGTCCCTTTCTGACCTCCAGGTGAGGCTGGCAGGGAAACCCCCACCTCTACCACATCCATTCTTCACATGGGCAGCCAGCCCCAGTGCTCAGATGGCCGATCTGCTCTGAACAAAGGACCCCTTTAATAGCCCTGGACTTGGCCACAGTGGAGATGAAAAACAATCTTGCATCCTGAGTGCTGGACTGTGGCCCAGGGAACCAAAAGGGAGAACGGCATCTCGGCACAGGCCTCTCAAGAAAGCACTGGTGAATTCCCGCTGAGGGAACACTAGGCCGCCACAGGGCAGCTCTACCAACACCAGGTCTTAGAGCCTTTGGCAGCTGACACCACCAGGTCAGAAAGACAAAGACAGGGGAAGTACTGTCTCCACAAGGACCCCAAAGTTACCACGCAGGACAAATATGCCATGCAGTCTCCCCGGCCTTCCACACCATCACTCCCTGTCATGTCTCGGGTCAAGGAACTTCCACTGTTCTCTTTCCACAGTGAGAGTTCCAACTCCTACCCTAACTTCTGCCTGAGAGACTGGGATCTGGTGAGATCTGGGTTAGAGAACACTGAGGAGACAGGCTGGGGGTGAGGGGAGGACGCTTGCTGGCCCAGGGCTCTGAAGGACACAGTGGACAGAAGGGAATACATTGCAAAACCTGCACTTGTGCTTATGACCAAGGTCTAACGACACCTCAGGGTTTCCTCTGACTGACCACTGAGGGCTCTCCCTGGACTCCAGCCTTCCACTGCGGGGTACAGCTATCTGCTTCATGGACATGCCATGGTTTTGAAAGATGTGTTAAGGTCAGGAGGAAAGAGAATGAAGGCCATCGGGGAAATACAAAGTCATGAGACAAAGTATTAAACCACAGAGCAAAGAGAAAACAACAAAGAAGTAAATTAAAAGGGGGGGAGGAAATAGGGGAACCCCGGAAAGGAAAAGGCCCCTTCACCCCAGAGTCTGGTTGAAGAGTCAAGAATTTCAGTACATTAACAATATTTGCTTTGGAGGTCATCTAGACAAGACACGACAATGCTGCTGTACAGAGATACTTCAGGGGAAGAATGCTATCACAGCCATGGTCCATGGCTATAGCCTAAGCACAGGTGACCAACGATGCTTTAATCCCTGCCCAGCTGAAAACCTGCAATTTTCGGATACTCTCACAGGAAACCCCATGGTAAAGGAGATAACTTTACCTCGTTGTGCAACCCTTGTACCCAAAGTTTCATCAGACTGTTATTCTACCCAAGGCATCCCAGGAGCCACTTTATGACCCCAAAATACAGAAGTGGGGGAAAGAGTCTTGGAAACCCTTTGAGCCTAGTCACTTCTCCTGACTGCCTCTTTCTGCTAATCCCCAGGTTTAACTCTTTGTTAAAATGTCTTCCTAACAGATTCCGACTCCAGGGGCAGGAGACAGCTCAGAGGGGGCCTACCATCAAGGCTAATGGTAACTCAATACCCAAGACCTGCACTAAATAAGAGAATAGCTATCCTCTGACCTCCACGGGCACACAGGTTCTGAAAAGAATTCCTCAGGCTGCTGCTGGTGCCAGTACAGATTGGAGTCTCCACTCCAGGGCCTGTCGCTCTGATGGTAAGAGTAAGAGCCCAGAGCAAGATGCAAACCTGCCCCAGCCTGGACCAACCACCGCGTCCTTCATGTTCAGAGAAGAGGAGAAGAGAGGGGAGGGGAGGGGAGGGGAGGGGAGGGGAGAAAGGTGGTGGGGCATTCTTATTTACTGGTCTAGAATGGAGGGGCCCTCCATTTCTGGGTCCCTTCCTGGCACTGATCCATCAGGCTACACTCTTTGTCTTTCTAACTTGCATCTTCCTTTTTATCTACTCTCCAAGAAAAGTCCCTGTTTTCATACAGATTGGAGGAATTTAGGACTGAAATTTCCTGAGTTCCTCTAAAATTCTGAATCCAATTTTAACCAGATCTTACTGACAAACTAAGAAACAGGACTGCAAAATCAGTTTTTTTAAAAAAAATGTCTTTTAAAACCTACTTATTTAGTTTTATGTAATTGAGTGTTTTGCCTGTGTGTGGGTGCATATGTGCATGTGTATAGATATGCATGTATGTATTGCGTTAGTGTGTGTGTGTGCATGTGTGTGTATATATATATGTGTGTGTGTGTATACCACACATAGGCCTGGTGCCTGAAGAATTCAGAAGAGGGTGCTGGAGACCCTGGAAATGGGGTTGTGGACAGTTGTGAGCCACTGTGTAGGTTCTGGAAATTCAACCTGGCCTTCGGCATCTTCTCTCCAGTCCATGGCTAATTTTTTTTTTTTTTTTATACAAAGGAGTTAGGTTAAAACAAGACCAAAAAAGAAAAAAAGGAAAAAGAAAACCCCAAAGGCAAGAGGACTTTCTAAATCCCACTTCTAAGAGCAGAGATCTCCTGGAAGGAAGGGAAGGAGGGACAGCACCCTGTGTTAAGATGCCTCTGCTGAATAACTTAACTCAATAATAAGTAAAATAATAATACTAATATGTGAAGGAACTATTAGAAGCCTCCAGATAACTGGGAACAGACGCTGAAAAGCCACTATGTTGTCTGTGGCAGTTAAGGGGTTAAGAAAGGAAAAAGGGTAGCAGAAGGGCCTGGCTACAGGACACTTGCAAGTTTGGCACCTGAGCATGGGCCCCCAAACTCACTTAAAGGTGAAAGGAGAGAGCCAGCTCTACGAAGGTGTCCTCTGGCTTCTGCGGACACCTACGCACAATTAAAAATAGTTTTCTAAAGGTCATCTGAGCTGAATGGGAGGGGGCAGGATATAAGGTGGTGTTTTGATAGGGATGGAATTTTAGAATTCCAGGATTCACGGAAAGGGTGTCATTTCAGGTTAGCAGGAGTGGAGATTCCTGGAACCAGCGACAGGGTTGCCCTGGAAAGGAAGAGGGGAAACACGGGCTTTTCCTGTCCCCACCTCCAGGACAGGTTCCTCTCTGCTGGTGCACAGGCAGGCGGCCAACCCTGCAGTTTGAGTTCACAGTCAAAGGAAAAAAACCATTTGGGTGGAGTGTGCGCCTCTCACTCATCCCCCACAGCACAGGCTACTGTCAGTGCCGGGAGGGGACAGGTTTTCAGACACTCAAGCCTCTCTGGGACACATCCAGAGAGCTAGAAGGAAAGAAGGAAAGGCCTGTAAACAACCCTCCAACATTTGCTTCAGTTCTAGGTTGCAGTCTATGAACTTATTATCTTTAATAGGCAGCATTCAGTGGTGTGTGACATCTAGTCAGTGAGACAACAGGGGGGCGGCGACATCACTGACAGGCAGGAGATGCTTTCTCTGGGTGGGTGGGAAGAGGCCTCAGCATGCAGGGTCTCCTGCCAGGCAGAGGTACAGACAAAAGATGGCCATAGGGCTAAAACACAGGGGGGCAGCAGGAACCTGATGCCGTGACTCTTTGGCAGCCACCTGCCCTGGAGAGCATTCCAACACAAAATAAAAAGAGCCTTGGAGAAGGGATAGAAGGTTGTCTACTCATTCTTCTAAAACTGCCGGCCTGGTGGTGTTAGGGAGCAGCTGGGCTTTCTGTGCACACTGTCAAACCACCTCAACAATAAATGAGAAAGCTAGGCTTGAACACTTCTAGGTCTCAACTGGGTCAAAGCTCAGGAGCGCCGTGCTCCAAAGTCTGGCTCAAATCTTTTCAAGCTGTTTCACCATCATTCTGTCCCCTGCCCATAACACACTGCCACACCCTAGAGAGAGCGTAAGTGGCCAAAAAGGCCAGGGAATATCACGAGCAGTATGGCACAGAAGGCTCACACTACCACTCAGCCAGGGCATCAGTAAGAAAGCAGCAATCGCCAGCATCACCCCAGTCACCCCATCCCTGCACGTCAATTACATGTGTAAGGAAACTCAGTTCAAAAAACAGAATATGGTTTTAGATTATCCTAGTTAGGAACTAAAAGCACAAAAACAAAACCAAGAAAGGCCTTCCCTCCGCATCTGTAGAGAATTGTTCCAGTTCCTCCCAAGGATCCCAAATCTCAGATGCTCATGTTACTTATATAAAATTTTATGCTGTGGTGTTTGCAAATAACCAATGCATATTTTCCCATATAGTTTAAACCACATTTATATCTCTCCTAATATTTAGCCTAAACATATAATCACTGTTGTACTGTACTGTTTAAGAAATAATATCAGGTGAGGATAAAACACTATATACATGATCGATACCAACATCATTTTTCCCCCAAATATTTCTGATTCAGAGTTGCCAGAATCCATGGAGCCACAACCAGCGGATGTGTTAAAAATAAGCAGAGTCATATTCCCAAACTGAGGGAAGGAAGAAAATTCCACTAGAACCTATCCTCAAGCAGTCAGCAGCGTACCTGGGGGAATCGGCTAGCTACCAAGGAGATACAGTTAGAGATACAATTAGATACCCATGCAAATACCACCCTTGACTACCTGCATCACCGTTAGGCACTAAACCAACCTCCCAGGTGGCACGGCAAAAGCCTTGGGGGTGGAACAGATGCGCATCTAACTTTGAAAAGCTTTTACCAGCCAGGCCTTCTGGCTCAGGCCTATTAACTCCAGGATCCAAGAGGCAGAGACAAGAGGACCACAAGTTCAAAGCCAGCCTAGGCAACTTAGTGAGCTGCTGTCTCAACAGAAGAAGTAAAGGGGGACTGGGAATGTGTTTAGTTGTTGAGAACCTGACATGCACAAAGCCCTAGGTTCAATCCCCAACACCACCCACTTAAAAGTTTACCAACTTCTCCAGAAGACCATCCTGTCCCGTTCCCCCAAACACACACAAAAAAAGCAAACATACCTGGCTCCAAATATGTCCTTTTTGGCGAGGTCAATTCCAGAAACAACTTTTACTCTGAGAATACGGGATTCCCCCTGTTAGAAAGAGAAAGGGAAAAATAACGAGGTTAAAACTGACCCTTAACAGACAACGCTCTCAACTGGAAGCTTCAAGTGGGCAATTTCTACTCAAGTCCGACATTGAAATATACTTCAGTTCAAGCTCTGGCAATTCCTGCTCACAGTTAAGTTCAGAAGGTGGCACAGCTGGTCTACAATGCTCAGATTCCAACCAGGCCTGGTGACATAATCCTGAAACTCAGTACAAGTTTCAGACCACTTACACAGTGAGGTACAGGCTAGTTAGGGCTATGTATCAAGACCCTAATTGTGTACATATAAATCCGAACGGGAGGCTGGCAAGATAGCTCAGTCAGCAAAGAGTCTGCTACACAAGCGTGGGGACCTAAATCAATCCCCAGAACCCACAGAGAAGAACCAGGCGTGGCATGAGTTTGTAATCCCAGTGCTGGGAAGGCAGGATAGGTGGATCCCTGGGGCTCACCGAACAGCAAGTCTAGCTGACTTGTTGGATTCCACTCTGTTTGTTTGTTTTGTTTTTTTCTTTAACAAACAGAACACCAAGGTAGACAGACGGCATTCTGGGGAATGACAATCGACACGCAAAGAAAAAAGATGTTAAGATTCTGGAAGCTGCAGCATGCAGATTAACAAAGCACAAGTTCAAATCTAAGCAGGCAGGTCATTAATATCAATTACTTCTGATAATTGTGGAAATATTGCCCAGCTGTACCCAGAACACAACGACGGGAGCCACTGAGGTGATATCTTCTAATAACCAGGTACCAAAATCACTGTAATTCTATCCTTCAAGTGTACGTATTTATAAATGTGACCAGAGATAGAAAAGAAGGAAGTTTTATGTGGTGAAATATTTATAAAACAAAACAACCAAGTGTTTTTCAAGCTGCAGTTTTACTGAGCAAAAATAATTCCCTATTTCTGATACAAAGAAGTAACAGCCTCATTCTGAAAGGTAACCTCAAACTGGCTAGTCAACTTTTCATCATCCATCCAGTCATCAACTTCTTTCACTCAGTCTAGTATTTAAGTATCTTTTATACAGTGGGCACTGCACTTGGTCTGCAGATAAAAACAGAAATACGTTCCTAGGTCTACTTACTAGACATAGGCATAGAAGGAAGACTGAGCCAAGGACACAGAAGTCTGAGTTTGGGTCACTAGTAACATAAACTGAGATGGAGAGCCGTGTCCAACATGCCTAGGCAGCAAATCAGATGGCCAATGGTTGAGAAAGGCTGGGTCTGAGCTGAGACTTGAGAGCTAGTCAGCAGAGGGCTGGAGGTCTGTGTGACAGACGGTAGCGTGTGGAGAGTTAGCCAGGAAGAACAAAAGGAGGTGATGACCAGGAATGGAGCCCTTGGAACACTAGTGCTGAGCAGTCGGAGAGAAGCAACTAGAAATTCATCTGCCAAGTAAGTTAAGACCCGGGAAGACCTATATGACATCATAACAATGAAGGAGACAGATGGAAAAACAAAAGGCCGATCAAATCTGGTACCCTGCCTTTACTAATGAGCCACCGACCCACAATACATACGGGCCAACCACACCATGTGCTTGAGATGACTTACCCCCCAGGAGTCTTCCCCCCCCCCCCCCCCACGAATCCACCCTCCCCTCTCTTCCTCTCTCCCTTCCTGATGTAATACTGCTTCCACACAAATCCAGAGAAGGATGCAAAAACGTAAAGCAAGATCTCTCAACATGTCTGTGCTGGGGCCATCAGCTCGGTGGTGCTTTCCTAGACCTGGGCTCACTCCCCAGCATCCAAAACAACAGCAGTGTTGGACATCCACAAAGGGGTGATCAGGAGAGGGAATGTAAGGGCAGATTCAGCAGGGATAACCAAGACACCATGCTACCTTAGTACAAAAGTCTCCCATGCGGCTACCAAAGTGCCTCTGAGTGTTGCTGGAATTGCCCTGTCCTGTCTCTTGCATATTTACAGACCAGAGATCAAGAATTCTTTCTGTGGCACATGGTGTTCTGCAGGCTCTTTTCTCTTTCTTGCCAAGCTGTCCTTTGCCCCTGGTCACATGGTGCCTCCCCGAGCCTTCTCATATTGAGGGATGAATACCATTTTTTATACATGGATCAAAATCTGGTTAACGTACTTCTGCAGAATTCTTTGTCTGACAAAGGTATGTGGCTCGCTGGTACCCAATGCATAAAAACTGAGAGTTAACCATGTACCTACCAAATGAATGGATCCATGCCTAATCAAAGAGGGCACAAGGAACCTCAATACTGGAGCCAACAAGTCTCCTAAATGCAGCTATGCTGAGGGTTGTGGATGGGAATGGGGGACAGGAGAGTGGAATTTGAGGATACCACAATGGATGGAAACTTAGTCGAAGTGACAGATTAGTCCCAGGTGCCACTCAAGAGAGACCAGGCAGCAAAGGTGTGAAATGATCCCGAGGTAGAGGAGCAGGAACCTGTTAAGCCACTAGTGATGCTTAGGCTCAGCTCAGACACAGCTGTGGCTGTCCGCACCTGCAATGGTGGCTGTGGAGATGGAGGGATAATGTCTATGATGGAGCGTGAGGGACTAATGGTCACTCACCACAGAACAGAAGAAAAGCATGCTGGTGAGAAACTCTTCACGCTCCTCTCAGAATTTTCAGAAACCATGGGGAGAGTCTTGCTCAGCAAGGATTATTTGATAGGGACCTCGACCCAACTGTAACCAGGTCGGAAGACGGGCATCTGCATTCCCATTGAATGAAAGGTCCTACTTAGGCAGCCTGCTTCCCAAACTAAGAAAAAATCAGGCAACATTTACACGAGTAAATGATGAAAAATAAGCTGAAATAAAGAGGAAGCTAGAATTTTCTAAGGGAAATCAGTTCTTTCACTTAGTAAATGTGAGCACCTGTTCTGAAATCTAACTCGAAATATAAGGAAGATACCGAGGCCAACCTGCCCTGCAGCCAGGCTTCCCCTGCTTCTAAGAGGCAGCTCCCCAAAACCTGTGAAAGACAGGAGAACACAGCCTAGCAGGAGCTTGCTAAGGGAGTGGCAGGGGGTATCTCTAAATCCCCTAAAATTTCATTCAAGCTCTTTGTTAGACAGAATCTCATTTATAAACCAATCCAAAGTAAATCACCCCAGGCGTGGAGGCACACACCCTAAATCCCAACACTCAGGAGGTAGAAGCAGGCTGATCTGAGTTTGAGGGCTGGCCAGGTCTACAGAGTGAGGGCCAGGACAGCCAGGGCTGTTACACAAGAGAAACCATGTCTTGAAAAAACAAAACAGAACGACAAAAAGGAGGAGGAGAAAAAAAAACAAACAAGGAAATCACAGATGAGGATAAGGGAGAAGGAACAACGAACAGAAGCACTTGCCACACCAAATGGGAGGACTTGAACTCAGATCCTTAGAGCCCTGGCAAAGGGGCATATCTGTAATTCCAGGGCTCCCATTGCAAGACAGAGGTGAAGAGAGAATCTCAGAAACTCCCAGAAAAGCTAGTATGTGTGTGTATGCAGTGATTTCAAAGCGGAAGGCTAGTTTCTGATCTCCACGTATGTACCATGGCACGCGCGCGCGCACACACACACTATTCCAGACAAACACACCCACACCCTCACACACACACTGAAATATCTTTAAAGTCATATATAAATATAAAAACAAACAAAAAAATGTCTTTAGGGTTGGCAGTCAAGACTCATTTTCATCTGAAATGAAATCTAAAAAGCTTCTACAACAGGCAGCTAATTCCATACAATGAGACACACCACTATCATCTAAAGGGCATAAAATAACTGGAGAAGTGGCTCAGCCAAACTTGACAACCTGAGAGTTTATATCCCTAGAAAGAAAGAAAGGAAAGAAGGAAGGAAGGAAGGAAGGAAGGAAGGAAGGAAGGAAGGAAGGAAGGAAGGAAGGACAAAAAATAATAGAACACACCACCTCTGGGTACAGTACCACACGCCTACAATCTCAGTGAACAGGAAGTAGAGATAAGATGGACCCTTGAGAAATCCTAGACAAACCATTTCAGTGAGAGACCTAGCTCCATGTTCAGCGAGAGACCTTGTCTCAAAGGTAAGGGGCAAAACTCCTGAACAAGACCCTACATCAACCTCAGCCCTTCATACATGTACCTGTACATGCACATGCACATGCACACGCACACGCACACACACACACACACATAAATATGTAATAAAGACTGCTTGGAGGCTGAATCTAGAATTCCAACCAGACCTTGAAGGAGGAATTTCCAGAGTCAATTCACTAAGCACTGGGCCCTGAGACCAGGACCATGCAGAGCTTGACCCTAAGACCTCCGTAGTCTCTCCTCTGCCTGCTCACCTGCCACACCCCCAACACTATGATGCTGAGCGAACATAGTTGGAGTTTGGACCCAGAACGCCGGATCAATAGGTTGCTCAACGTTCATCAGAGACAATTCCTGCAACAGATGAGAATTTAAACAGAGTCCCACAGCTAGACAATGTGCGGAAAATGAGAGACTTTGGGACGTTCAGCCCAGAATAGGATGCCTTTATTCAGAGCCCTCCCCTTAAGGTTCTTGATCTATGCAAGAGGGGGTGGAATGACTGGAAGTGCCAGAGGTGATGGCTGACTCCAAGGAAACAGTGTCTTCCAGATACAACAGGACTGTGCACCTACGGGCTCACAGACACTGTGGCAGCACACAGAGGGTGCACTGCAGAAGATCAAAGCCAGACAAAAATCCCAGCACAGAGAAGGGAAAGCAGACCAAGTTCCACACCTGACCAAGAAGCTATTTGCAATTGAAAATGTCTGGGAAAGAGGAAAATCCACTTCCTCCAATGGAGTGTCATTCATTGGGTCTATCAACCACATTCCAGGGCAGGCACCACACCCAGGAGGAGTTGCCCAACATAAATAGTACTCCGTGTGTGTGTGTGTGTGTGTGTGTGTGTGTGTGTGTGTGTGTGTGTGTGTAGTTTTGAAGTTGGGTGGGGTAGGGAGGTGGTGGAGGATCTGGG